AGGGGAAAGGAAAGAGGGGAAAGGAAAAATTATGAGAAATGGAAAAAATGGAAACAAAGTCTTTGTAAATAGGGAAGGGAGGGGTGGGAATGGGGAAAAAATAAGAACCAAGATACATCATGTAAAGGTACAAATTCCCAATGAGAAATGTAAATGTATTGTATACCTAAAATGTACCAATAAAAGAATTTAAGCAAAAAAAATGATGTCTTAATATGTTACAAGGTCAGACATGAATGTTTGCTTAAAGAATATTCAAGCTATGTGTATGTATGAGAAAAAAAAACTGGAACATGGCTAATCTCTTAGACTTTCTTAACTGATATAAATAATAATATCAAATCATAATAGTTATATAATTCATTAAGCTTCAAACAGGCTTTTCTATGGACATTAATACATTTCCTTTAAAATCAAAGAAAACCAAAATTTAGGCTTAGTGGAAGTAGCCAGATTTCAGTACTTTAGTAATCAATTCTTAAGTCTCCCTAGGACCTTAATCTTTTACCATTACATTATCTCTATGCCATCTATAAACAATTGACAAAATTACAATTTTAAACATAAGCTAAAAAATACACATTCCCTCTAGTATGCATAAAATATAGTCAAAAATAGTCTAGATAAGTGTCATACAGTTATTCAGACAGGCAACTTGAGTCTTTAGCACAGTGTCATACAGACACTATTATGCAAACCAGAAACCATAGGAGATTGTTAAGAATGCAAACTCACAGCCATCCTATGACCTACTGAATCAGAGTATCTGGGCACGGAGCTCAGAGATTTCATCAAGTTTTATCATTTTTTTCAGGTGAATCTTATGCACATTACAATGTGAGAACCAGATACATAAGAATAGCAAGTATTCAAGAGTATTGTATTTACAATCAGCTCTCAAATCCTATCAGATATTTGTGTCCATCTTTCATTCTCCATTCAATGCTGTTTATTAAGCCAAACATTTGTTCCCTTCAAAGACTTCTAGCCTACTCCTAATAGAACTTCTATCTTCCTCCTATGTCCCATATCCAATCCACCCATCTGAGTACTACTTATTCTTTTATTCTTTTCATTGTTCATTGGCACATTTTAGGTATAAAATACAGTTACATTCATCATTGGGATCTTGTACTTTTACATGATGTATCTTGGTTCTTATTTTTTCCCCATTCCCCTGTCCTCCCTTCAACCCCTCCACCCTTCCCTATTTACAAAGACTTTGTTTCCATTTTTTTCCTTTTCTCGTATTTTTCTTTTCCCTTCTTTCCCCTACCCCTCCCACTTCCCCTACTCCTTTAGACCTTTTCTTCCTATTTCACAATATCAATTATACATTTTGATCCTTACATACACTTTTAGTTTTTTACACCAGAGAAACTATTTGGTATTTACACGTGTGTCCTATTTATTTCACTTAAGAGTATGGCCTCAACGTGCATCCACTTAGCTGTAAATGTCTCTAGTTTCTCATTCTTTATGGCTGAGTAGTACTACATTTTATTAAAAAAACCCACATATTCTTTGTCCAGTCTCCAGTTGATGGGCAATTGGGCTATTTCCAAGTTTCAGCTATTACAAACTGTGCCACTATAAACATGGGTGAGCATATATCACTGTGGTATGATTCTTTTAATTTTGAGGGGGAATATACCCAGTAGAGGAATAGCTAGGTCAAATGGGACCTCCAATCCTAGTTGTTTGAGGTATCGCCATATTAATTTCCACAGTGATTGTACCAGTCTGCACTCCCACCAACAATGAAGGGTTCCTTTCTCCCCACAACCTTGCCAGCATTTGTTATTGGTTGATTTCATGATAGCAGCCATCCTTTCTGGGGTGAGGTGGAATCTCAGCATTGTTTTCATCTGCATCTCTCGAATAACCAGTGATGTTGAACATTTTTTCATATGCTTATTTGCTGCTTTTACTTCTTTGTCTGAGAAATGTCTATTCATTTCAGATTCTCATTTTTGAATTGGGTCTTTATATTTGGGGGTCTAATTTTTTTGAGTTCTTTAAATATTCTAGATAGTAGACCTTTGTCTGAGGAACAGCTGATAAAATTTTTTTCCCACATTGTAGGTTGTCTCTTAGTTTTATTGGTGGTTTCTCTTGCAGTGCAGGTTTTTAATAAGATGAGATCTCAATTGTTGATTCTTTGTGCTAGTTCCCGTGCTTCTGAGAGTTTGTTCATAAAGTTTTTTCCTATGCCAATATCTTCAAGAGTTCTACCTAACTTATCTTCCTGCAAGTTTAGTGTTTCTGTCTTAATATTTAGATCTTTAATCCACTTCGATTTTAGTTTAGTGCATGGTGAATGATAGGGATCTAGTTTTAATCTTTGGAAAACTGAAATCCAGTTTTTTCAACACCATTTATTAAAGAGGCTATCTTTCCTCCATCTTTCTCAAAGATGAGGTAGCTGAGTATGTCTGGAGTTGTTTCTGTATCTTCTAATCTATTCCACTGATCCTCAGGTCTGTTTCTTTGCCAGTACCATGCTGTTTTTATCACAGTGGCTTTGTAGTATAGCTTCAAGTTGGGAATTGTGATACTCCCCTCCCATGTCTCAGTTGCCTAGAATTGCTTTTGGTATTCTGGGTCTCCTCTGTTCCAAATGAATTTTTGGATGGTTTTCTCTAGATCTGTGAAATATACTGTTGGGCCTTCAATTGGGATTGCATTGAATTTGTACAGCAGTTTTGGAAGTACGTCCATTTTCACTATATTGGTTCCTCCTACCCAGGAACAAGGGATGTCCTTCCATTTTCTTATATCCTCTTCGATTTCTTTTTGCAGAGTGTTGTAGTTCTCAATATAGAGGTCTTTTGCTTCATTCGATTGATTCCTAGATATTTCATTTTTTTGGACGCTATTGTGAAAGGGATTGTTTCCCTAATTTCTCTCTCAGTGAGTCTGCTATTTGTAGTACTACGTATTCTTTAGGCCTGCTTCAATCTATTTCCTTTATTTTCTGTAAGCCACAAAGTAAGAATTCAAGGTACAAACTATAGTATTTTACTTGTACCTTCTCATAGTACCTTATTTATTTGATAGTTGGCAGAAGTTCTCTGTGATCTCTTATTTGATGGCAAATACTGTCTGCTCCCCTAAACTCCACCTGAAAGTTTCTTATATGAAATTATTGATAAGTCAAAGAAAAATCATGAATCATATAAACATTTAACAATCACAGTGCCACAGATTATTAGTATTAGAAAAATTATATTAGCTGCAAATAAACAATTTTTTATTCTTGCAGCATATAGATATTTTAACTGATATTTTATATACACAAATGGTCAGTTCTGTCTCTAAACTGTACGATTATAAAAAGTAGAAAGTTAATTTTCTAAAACAATTTATTTTAAATGCTATAAGAAAAATATATTTACTTGCTGAAAGCCCAAGTAATCTTGTATAGTTGAAGACGCATAAAAGACCAAAGCATCTGTAGTGACAGCCAATACAAAGCCATTCAGAGCCTACAAGGATAAAAAATTATATTAGTAACAGAAATTAAAACTGTTACAAGAGACTGTCAGATTAATGGGAATTACTTTTATCTCTGAAAACTCTTCCCTTCAAAATGTTTAAAATTATTATACTTAACAAACAGACACACTACACACCTCTGGAGTCAGAAGCAATCTATTCAAATCTTCTGGCCTGGTGAAGGCAAAACAGCTAAATTTAAATCTTCAACATATAAACTTTAATAGAATATTAATTTCTTCTTTTACCTCATACTTCAGAGTTTCTCTTTTAAATGTATTATAGCTATTTTTAATGATAAACTGTTAGAAATCATCACTACAACCTATCACACTGCTTTTTTAGAGAAACAACAGGTAAAGATGCTGATTAGAGAAAAATTTAGATAGAAGAAAATATATTTTTCTACAAAGACATTTTAAGCACTGATGAAATTTGTAATTTGGATTCTTTCAAATTATAAAACAGTAAGTCCTTTATTCGAAAATAATACATATAAAGCACATAGAATTCAAGTATAATGCACATATAAAAATATACAGCAGGGGGGCCAGGGATTTAGCTCAGTGGTTTTGCTGCCTGCCTTGCAAGTGCAAGGTACCGAGTTTGATGCCTGGTACCACACACACACACACACACACACAAAATACAGCAAATAAATTTGTTCATTGAAGTCTAATGAAATCACTAATATATTTATGTTTAAGCTAATCATTTTATATGTGCTAATTCTATTTATTCTATCTGTACCAGGCTTTTTTTTTTCTCTATCCCTTGCCTGCTTTTGGTCAATTATTTATTATTCTTCCATATTATTTCCTTCTTTTAGTTTGGAAGTTATTCCTTGTTTTGTCATTCTTCTACTGGTTATTCTAGTTCAATGTTAATTAATACTTTTTATTCTCTCCTTGGATAACAAAAGTATCTTAGATCACATTAAGTGTTTATTGGCATATGTTTTAATTCTAAAAGATTTCCTATTTCCTGTGAACATAATTCTTTGCTGTGTGGTCATGGCTTAAGCCTTCAGAGACCTTTTTTCCCTGTAAGTGAAGAAGTGGTACAGTTTAGTGTAAGGCCCATATAGTGTGCAGTCACATCTGAGCTGGACTCCAATCTCTATCTCTTACTAGCTGTGCGGCTTACATGATTTACTCCTTCAAGCCTTAGTGTCATCATTTCAAAAACTGTTACTATAACAGGTGGATATGGTGACTCATCTAACTTGGTACCTGAGGTGGTGCTGGCACTCAATTACTGTAAGGTACCATACTACATGACTGTGGGAATGAATAAAGATTGGCTTATACAATCATGCCTTGAGAATTATAAAAAGATATATTAATAGCTAGCTCATTCAACACTTCCAAAGAGGACATATGCAAGTTGCCCCTGTGCTTATGAAGCTCAAAGAGTTGGTGGATACCCTCAGTATGAGATGAGGTAAATAAAGTAACAGTAACTTTTTTCACTCTAATCCTTTCACCTTCACAACTTTGCTCCATGATATACTTTTGAGAACTTGATTACAAATAACATTTATTATTTAGCAATCTTCTTCTAAATGTTTTTTAATCCTCTCCAAAACCCAAATTTGGTATATTAGTTTTGTGAATGAAGAAACTAAGGTAAACAACTATACAATAACATGGCCAAAGTCACACAGCCAGAAAAGTGCTGTGCCAGGAGGTTAACTTAGTCTGACTCAGTAGCCTTTGTACTTAACCATCATGAATTGATGCTTTGCAAATTGACTGTTTTTGATTGCGCATTGTGGCCTGGCTCTCACTATTTAACTATAATTGTAATTGCAGAAATAACACATAATATGTGGCAATATTCCCAGGAAAAGATTCCTCATATTGGGAACTTGAATATTCAAGGATAAATACATCTCAAATTTTATATTCTTAAATTTGACAGGCAGTGACAGTATATACCCATTCCTATACTGTTTCATTCTAAAAATATATTTTTGCTAGATAATATTAATAATTTATCATTCATATTTAGAGAACTTTTTCAAACAGTAAAACACATTTAGTACATCTAAATAAACATGTCAGAAGACAAAAGGATAATTTAGGACACAGTATCAAATCCTTTTAGGCAAATGTTGTCAGAAATAAAATAAAAAACAAAAAAGAATAGTTGCATAACATTTTTTCATACAGCTCAAATGCTCTTAATTACCCATAAAAAACAAGGTTATTACTTATACTGAGTTATCATCTTAGCAAATTAACAGAAAGAATATGGTAACTATGTATTAATGACAGACAGCATTCTTTTAGTTTTAGTCACAAATTGTTGCCCTCTCTAAATCATGTTGAGGTTCCCTTATAATTTCATACAGCATATGAGAAATAAACCCCAATTCATACTGCCTAAGTCCTTTGGAGTTTACATCTGGCCACAACCTTCCCTGGGTGCTGGATATGGAGCTATGGGATTTAACATTTGGCCTGATGGTTTTCAGTCTTACTTAGGTCCAATTCCTTTCTATCCCCAATTCCTTCATTTTGGAACGGAATTGTTTATCCAGTGCCATTTAACTTTTTATTTGATTTTTATAGGTGCTCATACCTAAGAGTTTACTTTGCGTCCCAGGAGAGACTTTGGACTTGGACTTTTCAGCAATGATGGAACTTGTAAGACTTTGGCACTCCTAGAGATGGACTAAATGAATGTTACATAATGAGATGGACATAAGCCTTTTGGGAACCAGAGGCAGAGTGCTACAGTTTAGACCTACAATTTCACCCCAAAGTCTCATGTGCAGAAGGTGACTGGATCATGGGGGTCCTATGCTCATGGGCAGATTCATCCATTAATTAGCCCAGCAGCTCGTGTGCCATTAGAAGTGAGGCATGGCTGGAAAAGTAAGTCACTGGGGCTGTGATCTACAAGGGTAAATTCTTGTCCTTTTCTCTGGCTTCTTCCTTCTTCCTCAGCTTCCTGGCTGCCACGATGTGAGCAATTTTACTCTGCCATGCTCTTCTACCATGACATGTGTACCTTGGAGGGAGCCGAGCATGGACTGAACACTAAAACTGGTCAGCCAAATTAAACCTCTCATCCTTTAATCTGTGCATGTCAGGTATTCTGTCTCAGCAATGCAAAGCTGATTAGCAGATTCTTCATAAAGAAACATGGTCCTAAGCAAATGAGTGTGTGATATTTCCTACTGAAGCATGTCTACAAATGGCATCAATATAATTCATAACGTGGGTTCATTTTAATTATGTAAGGGACTTTAATTTTCAGATAATTAAGAAATTTATATAGTTATAGCCTTGTATTAGTACTATTCTGTGTCCTTGACAAATGATATACTTGTCTAAACATTTAGAAAAAAATCATTTAATCACAATTTAAACTAATTTTAAACTAAGCTGTTGGGCCAATCAATCCATATTTTCCCTTCAAATAAAGGATCTCATTATTAATGTACAATCCAAACTGTGTCTAGTCATATTAAGTAGCAATTATTAGAATGCTATCCTATGGCCTGAATGAAGAATCTTTGTGTTTTAACTAAATATACAGAAAGATCCCCATCAGGGGGTGGGAGAGGAATCATGCTTGAATTATTCAACTTATTTAGTATAATTAAAGCATGGTAAATTTTGAAAAGCACAGAATTACACAATTACAAAATTGTAATAAAAACGTTATAAATATTAGGCTACACTCTAGCATTCACTAATGAACTAATGGAGTTACCAAAACTTGTGGCAACTTTTCATCACACAGCAAACTCAGCTCTTTCCTTCAGTTCACCAGATAGAAATGGAAATGATCGTGTAATTGTAGTATATATTACAGCACATATCTCATTATATCTCATTTCAACAAAATAAATATCTGAAAATACTAAGTGAGAATCAAGCATAGTATCAGATCTAAAAGAAAATAGACCTTAAAAAGATTTAAAATGCTTTCACAGACAAATATATTAGAAACTCTATTTGATAATAGGATTGCAGTTGTTGAGAAAATCTACACCACGTGAGTGAAGTCAACATAGCTGGTAAAATGAAATATAATTTGTAAGATAACATTGAAAAAGTAGTTTGGATTAAGAAAAAACTTTAAAATATTAATTAAAGGTACTTAAGTATTTTAATTGAACTACATTCTAAAAAACATACATAAACCCAATGTCTTAAATACAGTATGTGGGTGATGACATAGCCTCTAACGAATCCACTTTGTGTAATTCCATTTACATCATTGTCGCAGTTCATATGAAAGTGGCACAAAACACTAGATGAGTCCTAAATAAACTGGTAATTATTAAAAGATTAATTGATTAATCTTACATTTACAACTGTCCTTATTTTAAGAAACTATATTTACGAAAATTTACCTGTAAGAAAAATTCTCCTTCTTGCAAATCCAGGCCATCTCTGAACCATGCTCTGCGGTTATCCTGGCCTCCATTTCTGTCAGCAGAGGATTTTAATGCAACTATAGAAAGAGACAAAGAAAGAAAACAACAACATAGTAGGTAGATTTTAAAATAAGCAATATAAAAGGGCTATAACAGAAAACAAACCCCTGACTACCAAATACAGAGATAATTTGAAACACTGGTGTCTACTAAAACTACAATGACTATGTAAATAAGCCTTTTGCTAATAAGTGGTTTCCAAATGTACACTAATAACAAAATTGAAGCATGTAATCAAGTTGTCAGCTGATAGACTGTACTGGAGGCAGCATGCTATATTGCTATTTCTTGTCTCTTCTCTATGTATGTGTGTGTGTGCGCACAGCACATGTGTATGTATGTGTTTAATTGGGGAGGCAGCAGAGCTGAATAGAAGTACTAATTATAGCTCCATTTACTTAAGCATTTTATTAAGCACTTCAAGATATATCATTTAAAAGCATGTTTTGCATGCTTGCAATCCCAGCTACTTTGGATGTTAAGGCAGGAGGATGGCAAGTTTGAGAGTCTCTGGGCAACTTTGGGAGACTTTGTCTCAAAGAAATGTAAAGTGCTGACGATGTAGCTCATCTGAACCCCTGGGTTCAATTCCCAGTACCTCAACAACAACAATAAAACAAAACAAAAAGAAAAAGAAAGTAAGCATGTGATTAATGCTATTTGATATAGCGGATATAAATCGTAGCTTTACTGTTTGGTAAATGAGCTAAATGGGTAAGTTTTTTGAGCCTGTTTCATAATACTCTGTGAAGCAGTAATTTTTAACAAAGTTCATCCTGCAAGGTTGTTGTGAAGGGTAATGAGAATATGTTTGGAGTTTCTGATATACAGCAGATCAATAGTTCAAATAAATGGTAGCACTTATTACTAGCAGTGTTTCCTCTAATTACCAGTGGTATTTCCCAGAGCTTAACAATTACCTTCTTATAAAATACAATATTTTAAATAATTTTCATTTTTATCTTTTAATTTTTTTCATCATTTTTAACTTGTCATATTAATAAAAGAAATCATTAAACAAAAATGACTTGCCAGTGCTTTTAAGACTTTTTATTTCATTAGGTTTTTATGTGCCACAATAATCTGGCTCAGGCAAAAAGCACGATTTACTAATAACCGAATTTTCTCTCAGTTTAAGCAACATATCACATAAACATTTTTCACGTTTGCAGCGTATTTTCTGGTAAACCATCAGTGCATGTGTCACACCAGAATTGTGTGCCAAGTTATTGCCTTTGCAGAAGTTGAAAGATATCTCTGAAAGAAGAGACCAGAAGCCTGGCCTCTAAATATAACAATTTCAAAAGGCCACAGAACAGATTTCCTTAGGCCAAAAAACAGTGAGGCAAATTGATCTAACAGTTTATCAAAACCAAAGGAAATGTTTAAATGTTTCTCACTGAAAAGTACAGAACTGCCTTATTCTGTAAGTTATGTTCTTGCTGCTTTTTAATGGCCAAATTTGCAACGCAATAAAATCTCACAATACCAAAGTGAAAAACACTCTGCCATGTTTCCAAATGCTTAGATATAAAGCACAATTTAAGTGTAAAGCACAATTTATACTAAGACTTGCTAATCAGAAAACAAAACCCTTACATTACAAAATAAGCCTAAGAATGGACAGATTATCACAGTGTCAAATTACAAATGCCTTAATAAACATTGGGGAATCTAAAATCAATTTTTGATCAGTGGAACTGATGTCAATTCTAACTAGAGTCAATAACAGGGAACATTTCTTAACTACAGAGAAACTGAATAAGAAAAAGACTTTTTCTCAGAGTAATTTATGATTTCTTTTCAGGCTTGTATTAGGGTATTAGGTGATATAATTAGACATTAGAGACCCTGCCTTTAAGTAGGGTGTATAAGCTATGGAAATAAAGAACCAGAAAAGATTGTTCAAAAATACTGTGGCAGAATGGGATTTAATTAAGTATACAGGAACTTAGAGGTTTGAGAAAAATGGGAACAATTTTTTTTGAAACAACAAGGTTTATAACTAAAAATGTTGGAAGGGCAGTATTTAATATGCATGACTACTTATGTGCACTTTGGGAATCATCATTGGAGGGTTCTATTCTTATGTTAGTTACCAGTAAAGGATTTAAGTAAATACTGTGCAAAGATGAGTCCCGGGAGGGTGGGATCATTTCCCAAAGTCATCTAAAAAATACTGTGACGTTTTACAAAACTTGTTTATGCCTAGTCTCAACCCAAACTGTATCATTTTTAGCTTTCTGTGAAGTTTTATCTCTAGTTGCTATTTTCGTAACACTAACTATCCTTTCTTAAAATGACTAGAAGGTATAATACTATTCACTTTCATGTATACATTGATGGTATTAATTAGAAAGCAATGGAAGAGTAATGAGGTAACATGAGTTTCTATCACAGGGCTGCTTGCTAACATCTGAGTGACTTTAAATTACTCAGTAACAATATATGATAATTACCACACTCTATATCCAGCACTTTCCATATCATATTTACTGTCCTTAATGGTCTTAAGAGATTGGCACCATTGTTTTTTCAATATATTAGGGAATGGAGACTTTCGGATGTTAGGAAACTTCCCCAGGGACACAGTTTTAAGTGGTAGAGCCTGGATAAAAACCTATATAGCATGAGTCCAGTGTATGGTGATTATCAACTCCTGTACCTCCTATACTTCTCCCATTATGCTAACCAACATTCACCTTTAGTTTCTTTATCTTTAAATGAGGACAATGCTACCTCTGGAGACAAACTTTTGTGGGGATAAAATTACCTGCAGCATACCCGAGTAATGCCTGAAATCAATCACTGACGCTCAAGGACAGAGATAAATTCTATACCGAGTTAAATACTCTAAAACCATCATGGAAAACTTACAATAAACTGAACTGTTTCTTATCTTTATGTGGAAAGCATTAATGAGAATTAATAAGACTTCTATGATGAATTTTGAAGGTACCCCAAAAGTACAACTTGTTATGTAAATCATGTGCATAATCAGATGTATTATTTGGGAAGCATTTGCCATACTGTAATAGACACTTGTTAAAATCCTCCTCATCTGTGGAGCATGTACCACCTTCCAAAGTGAGAGGAATATCAATACAAAGATAGAATAATGTTAAGATATTACAAGTATTTTCTCATTAAGAGGTCTATGAAGCGATCACAAAATACAAATAAGAGTTAATCTAATCAATAATGGGCGCTAAGAGTAAATATATCAAAGCATTATGAAATAGTTATATTTCAGATGATTCAAATCTTATTCCCATACGTACTGACCAATATCCATGTTTCATAATAAGGCACTTTCCTTCCTTCTACATCTAAGCTCAGATTTTCATTTTTACCTACTATCCAAATATCTCCTTTTCAAAAAACATGTTTTAAATTGTCCAACAGAGAAAATTCATGATAAAGAAATAGCAGATCATGGTAAACTATATTTTGTTACAATGGTTTGTATTAAAAAAAAAGATGACGTGATACATTACTCTGGAAAGTTAAAATTCCATTCCCACAATGATATAAGCATGAGTGCAAAGTGAAGACTTATTTTAAAATTCAACCAAACACATAAAGAAGTAATGCAACAGTTCCTAATGTACACAGAAAAATTACCACACAACATATTAAGAGTACCTAAAGGGAGTTTCTTCTACATAATGTGGGGTAAAAAAATACATATTTCACTTCAATATACTGTTTTCTTTTATAAATGAAGTGCTCTCCTTCTGAGGGAAGAAGGAAAGAAGGAACTGAAATTAAAGAAAACCAAATGCTAAATTCCTGGGAAACAAAGATTGGATCTATATAGTCCTGCAGCTTCTGATAATACTGACAGATCTTTCTTTTCTCCCTACAAATCTCTAAACACAAGGGCAGGGTAAATTCAGTTTATAAAAAATGCAAATGCTAATTTATATATTTGTGATTGTAGATGAAGGAACTAGTAGGTACTTTTTAAGCAAATTATTTTCATGTTGAAAAAGTCCTTAAAAGTCAATTCTATTACCATTCTCAAATGGAGAATAACTGCAGGCTGTCTGTCACTTAGCATCCTCCTAGGTACATACTCAGCATGCAATTCCTCTGTAACTGTGTATTATATCTCTGCACTAATGTGACCAATCAAAGCAACTAATATAGCTCTTTAATGAGAGCCTGGGTTGGACTTTCTTCTCACACATGCAAGACTAGAATTCAAACCACACTTGGAATAGCAGAATGTAACCAACCAGGACAGCAATTCATAAACTTTCACAGGCATCAGAAGCACCTAAGCCTTATTAATTCTAAGCTGCCCCCTCCCATCTCTATAATTTCTGACTCAGAAGCTCCAGGATGGAATTCCACAGTCTGCATTGCTAATAATCCCAGATGATACTGAGGACCAAGTGCCACTCTGAACATTAGGATTTAGGAAATAACTTAGGAATGTTCTGGGTCTAATTACCTCATATTCTTTAAAATTATCATTTCCATGCTAGAAGGGCATACTTACTAGTATGAGTATCTTTAGAAAATAACTCTAATTCCAATTTTACAAAGACAGAAGCCCATAATTTAAGGCTGAAGCATGGGGCAGTAACAGAAAAGCATGCTCTGTTCAGTTCATATCCTTACCAAAGCAAGCCATCTCTATTCACTAAACAAAGTATCTAGATGTGAGTATGTGTCTCTTCTGATAAAAGAAAATGTGGGAAGTAAACTGCCACATATTCTATCAAAAGACTGGGGAAAAAAAGTTTATTAGCAAATTTCCATCTCTAAATCAAAATACACAACTAATTCAACAAAAGGATTCTCAGATGATATTGATACCAATCCCTAAAGGCCACTACAACAACTACAACAATAAAGCTCTCCATGAAAACAAGTAAAATATTAGGATTATATAGGTATTAATTATGGCCTGTGTGGCAATGATAATTTTAATTATAAGGTTTATTTCATAGATATTTTATTTTTAGGGTTAAACTACCAGAACCTTAAAATGGCAGGCGGATATTAT